CCAAAGTTAGTCGTACTTTGGGAAGAGGAATCGATCAAATCAGTGAGGTAAAACATTCTGTCATTGCCTAGATCTCGTAGACGAATCATATCTGTTTGTTCTCCCTTATCGAAACACCGTGTGTATAATCCTTACTTACTCTGAATAAGTGAAGACTCATTGTGCGAGCGGAGATCATAGCGTTCAAAGATTAGCTATGTCTTCCTAGATTCTTTTGATGTATTGTGTTTGCAATTCTTGTTAGACATTTACTCATTTACTTCACAGGGACAGAAGTCGAAAGAGGAATTTTTTTCGATAGCTTTTGTGAAACCATACTCATGTATAGGGCATTCGAAAAATCGTAAAGATGGCGCGACTGCGCGCAACACGCATAAACTTCCGGCGACCCCCCTTTTAATTTAATTTCATTTTTACTTGAATAGTTTTTGTGCTTACAGACAACAATATTTAGACAGTGGAAGTGAATGAGCAGAGCGTTGACATGATATCTTTTTGTATAAGTGCTTTATGCTCCTGTGGGGGCAAAGACCGCAGTCAAATCCGTCGCCACATTAAAAAATGACCCATATATTCGACGTTAAAGTTGGTCCCAGATTTTTAGTACTGTTCGTGCAGGGCTCTCTGAAGCTTTGAGGGGAACCCCCGAACATTGCAAAAATATCTTTAACCAATGAAGAGTGCATAGATTTGTGCAAAGTCACTACTTTGATATCTGAGTTTGCAATTATCATAAATACATTACGGAAAACTTGATGACAACCGTCGAAAGAGAGAGAGTTTGCTCATTTCGTGGAGTTTGGAAGCCAGTAAACCCATACCATTCTTTTGCGATACCTCAAGTCTCTACATCCTCACAATGCTTTGCATATGCAAAACGTAACCATTGAAAGAATATCACTTTGCTCAGAGATCGGAGCTTGCATCGTCCATTGAGGAGGCATATTCTCAACTCGTGTAGCTCATATTGTTGATTAGATAACATAAATAAGAAAGGGTTAATTTCAGCGTCATGTCAGCAGTACAGTGACTGCTAAGATTCGTCTCAACAAATGGTGTGAAAGATGTTTAAGAACTGTTCCAAGTCAAATCGTGGCTGGCTGTAAACAGAAAGATTGAATGGATCAAACTTGAACTTGCATAAAATAATTTCAAGAATCGCCATATGAGTTAACGTCAACTGCGTCCATCTAATTTTTATTTTGCTTTTATTCTGCACTGCGTACAACCAGATGTTCAATGCAACTAGTGCTAAAAGTGTTGAAGTTGGTTGTTCCTTCCAATCTCAACCATAATTTTCTCTCTGAGTCTATCTTTCTGCTATAACATTCTCAACCGTCAACTTAGCTCTTGAAATTCAAATTTCAGAATCAAAATTAGATGTACATTCCAATAATGCCGGAAACCCATGCTCAATATAATATTTTATGGTAAAGCACAACTATAACCCTTGGTTGCACTTGGCCGCTATAGACATTTTACGTCTTTGCAGAACGTACATATGGCGATTGTTAAAGTACGAGACTATGTTCAAGTCAGAGTATATCAGCTCAAAGGTGTACACTGTATGTTGGAAAAAATACTATAACTATTATGTTTAAGAGACAGAACTTAGGTTATGGGGGAAAGAAATGTTGTCAGTTGACATATGCACAGGTCATCGCCTAAATATGCCTTCAGATATTTAATTAGGTATTAAGATGTTGATACCTTTGGAGGAATAGAGCATTCCTGCACTTGGATGGGTGAAGACCATAACTGAGTCTACCGTCACTATTTTTAAAAGATCTGTGCAGATGTGACCTTCGAGTAAATAATGATGGCTTCCATAACTGAACTTACAGCATATAATGGCGCCTTATACCACCAAGCCACTCGTCCTTGAAGACCTTATAGAGGCAATTTTGTTTACGTAGTTATTCTGTCTGAAGGCCACAGCTAAACCGGCCAATTTTAGAAACTGAAATCATTAGGTTGGTGAAAAAATAATATCGTTTTGAAAATTTCCGCTTTGAAAACTTATAACTTTGTTCAGTCCTCATATTTTTAGTGAATATAGTAAGATCCCTAGAAGCAGCAAAAAATCTACTTATCCCCTACAGCTATGTTTTCATGAGAATTTGTTCGTTTACGCCTGGATTGTGGCCAAGGAAGTTAAAGCAATGAAATTCCGATTTTGAGTGCAGCTGTGCGATACTGGTGAAATTCTCACGGATGAGACAGAAGCTTAATTTCACCACTGTTGGAAAGTACATGAAAAAAGCTTTCGAATGATATGCAGAATCCATACCGAAAACGAAATTTTGAGGAAAAAATTTGTTCGATTAGGCCTAGAAAAGCGGACATTATTTTTGCTGCAACCTAATAATTCTCGCCCATACCGTATATTTATATACCTACCGTACTGGAGGAACCTAATTGGCTTGTTTGGGAAGCCTTTGATATTATGACTAAATCATAGAGCGTAGTAACTATGTGAATAATTGCAGGGCCACCTCTTAGTGAAACATATCACAGGTCATTTTTCTGCGAGTCATAAGTAGGGCGTGGCTTCATGAATGGATCTTCATCAGCAGCAGAAGTGCGGGTGGCCGCATTTCGGCAGCTGCTCTACTGCCAAAGTTTCTTCCTTCTCTCCCTCCCCTCCCCCCCCTCCCCCCTCTTCCGCCCAGCCATAAATCGCTAAGCTCTGTCGCGCCTTAGCTGTGTCAACCATGAAAATATCACGGATTTGTTATTTATTTATCGCCATCCGCCGACTTGACTCCGCCCTTGGCAAGCGCGACTTTACATAGGGCTCGAACGAAACCCTGAGAAAGTTATATAATTGATCTAGCTGCTTTTCCTCTACATTGCGTCAGGCTCATTTCGTTTTTTCTCTCCTGCTAACGTCTGATATTGAAAGCTAAGTGCAGTCAGCGCGAAAAACTCTCTTTCATTCGTTTGTTATAGGAGATGCGAAGAGAAATGCGTTTTGCAACTCTTCAGGAAACGTGCATCTCTTTTTCTTCGAAGAACACATCCGACGCTCTTTACTCATTCGATTTCAAATATCAAATTAGATATTTGAGATGGAATCGTTAGCGGTTTCTTTCCGTCAGATATGCCAAGAAGCCAAAGTTTCCCACTCTCTTATGCGAAAACAAGCAAGAACAAAGCTAAGGGATTATAACGATCATTGTCTGGGCAGATAAAAGTGTCACATTTATATATTGGAAACATCGATGTTGCTATATATGTTTTGCAGAACTTTTCTTTTTTTTGATATGGCAGGAACTTGGAAAGCCAAAAAAGGTAGATATCCATACATAATGCGCATGATTAGCCAGATTTTCTAACATTTATTTTTTTCGATTTCTTAGGTTCAAATCGTGACATAAACTATAGATTTTTCAAGTATCTAATGTTTTATTTGAGTTGGAACTTCAATTTCATATTCAAAAAAAACAAATTCGTTCAAATTACGATTCTAGAATTTTCTTTCATCTAGGCAGACGCAGACAATGTCGCCCTTATGGTGTATGCAAGCCTCAATAGTGCGAAGACAGAAAAAATAAAAATTAAGTTTCCCCGCGTTTTACTAGAAAGAAGTTGAAATTTTTGAATTTGTCAAGAACACGTGTTTAAAATTCATGTTAAAAATTTCATAGATTGGGCTTGCTTTTTTGAACTTACAGCGCTTTGAAACGGTTTACACTATTATATGCAACTGCCAACATCGCTAGCTCTCACTCTTCAAAAACTTACTCCTTCGCAGTTCTTCAATATGTCAATACATTTGATAGAAATCTTCTGTGGAATATTACGTTTCTAATTTTTATTTCTATATTTATTTCTTATTTTTAACCTTACAACAGCCGCTAAAGGGCAATAGCAATACCAAAAATATAGCGATCGATTTTTAGAATCTTTTCAGCAGTTGCCTCCTCTCTGGCTAAGTATGTTCACTTTGTTTGCAGTGACCTCCATTTACATACAAATGTGAATCTCGAATTTTTGCAGGTTATTTGATAGAAAATCAGTTCTTATTGTTATAAGGGGAAATATAGGTACTTCAATTGTTCCATGAATTGCAGAAATCTCTCTCGAGGACTAAATTATAGCACATATAAGATTAAGTGGCACTTTTCCCAAGAAAGCAAAAGTGTCTTTCTTATGTGACGCGCACTTGGGATTAGTTTTCCTAGTTTTTTATTTATTTATTTATTTGACACGCTCATAGGCGCGCCATTTAGTTAGTGAACAGCAACATACAATGTCAATAAAGTTAGTATGACATCAAGAAGATAAAAAAACAGAAAAAAAACATGAAAAGGCGTTTGATAATCTTGGAATGAAAAAAAAATGCGGCGATGGAGAATTTCGTTACAGTTTTACAGCAGATATTGTCGTAGTTTTACATATTCTAGTAAAATCTGTTTAAACCGTGGACTGAAACTTTCAACAATATCAAGATTGACCTAAAATGATGACGATAGCTTTTTGCTACATTTTTTGTTTTTCTTTTCAACAAAAAAGACGTTTCTTCAAGTGGTCATTTTTCAACTTTTAACACGCCTTAAAACGTACAAAATAAAATAGATGATAATAGCGTAAAATAGATTAAATTGAACCAATCAAAATATAATGAATTATAGTATAGATCAAAATGAGCAAAACCGCTTGGTTAAGTTTGTTAAGATTTTAAAATAATTGCAATATCATAGGTCAAATCAAATCAGTTACGCGTGGTCGAAATTGGAATGGAAATTGAAACTTAAAATTTTGAAATCAATAGATGAATCAAAATATTCAAGACCGCATAGCTGAAATTGTGACAGTAAAAAATCTAATATGTTCTTGAAACTAGCTATTGAAAGTCAACGAAGTCTCTCTGGTTTGAAGCTTTATCTCAACACTCCTTTTTCTCTTCCTTATCTGAAAAAGAGTTCTGATTTTGTTCTTTCAGTTGTTCGTTTGCGCCATAAACATCACTTTCATGATTTTAGCAGAGTCTCAAAATGTTTTCAGATGTCGTGACAATCTCCACTTCGCTCCGTCGTGACATGCACCTACTTCTCGTATTATCTACACTAATCCTTATTCATCAGTCTCATGCAGAGATCCGCGTGAACTTTTGTGTGCTTCGTTGTAAGGATAATCACATGCGTGAGGTATGTGCTTTAATGTATGTGGGATTAGCGGAGGGATTGATTGTGGAAGTAAAAGTTGTGGCAAAAAAGGTTTTTTCTATCATCAATTACTGATCTTCCACATGTGTGATAAAATTGAACTTTAGTCCTATATGGATTCTACAATTGTCCCCAGCAGGAAATAATCTGTTGCATGCAATTATACTGCTATAATATTAAGCATTAGAGAACAAAAAGGGGACAACTTGACGGTTTATTCGTCAACCTATTTATATAATTGTTACACCTAGGCGTGCAGAAAAGTCTAACTAAAACGGTTTATGACATGCCATACAAAGCACGGCCAGACATTTTGAAAAAAATAATGAAAAAACATTTTTCCTCGTAGCTAAAACATGTCTTCAGATAATTGAGCAACTAGAAGTTTGAAGTAACAGTGCAGATTATGCTTTAAAAAACCTCCTTATTCGGTTATCCTGATTTGGAGAAAATTGTTGGGATCCGGAGAAACTTGCGCGGAGAAGGAGCTGGCGCAATGAATTTCCAATTTTAACGCAGTTTTTTTGTTCGTCAAGCTACTTAAACTCGATAAACTTTTTCAGCTTTATGAATATTTTGCATGAAAGAATTATAGAAATGATATCTTTTTTCAACAACCTAGGCCAATCATATACATCAAACATTTGTGCTTCTGAAATTGAGGAATATTGCTAAAATGCATATGATCGCGTGCGAAATATTATTCTTTATGAGCAATTCCTTTATTCAACCTATTTCTGAGTTTGTTTTAAATTTTGCCCATTGGCATCTGAGACTTACGAAAGTATCATCGTCAAAAAGTTCGAAAAAAATTGACCCTTGGCTTTCTTGCGATGTTCACAAAATGCAATCAAACGCGGAATTATAAGCTTTTGAATGTACAATCTTAAAAGTTTTCTATTGAGGTTGAGCCTGTGTTTTCTGATTGGTTAGGTTTTACGTTTTGTAAAAAGAAACTTTAGACAAGAATTTGTTGATAATGGTGTGATTTTTGACTAGTTAAAATCTCCGATTTTGATCTAAATCGCCTTTCGTTCCGTTCCGTTCCATTTTGCCCTGAATTAGCCTATGACACAATAAAGCGAAACATTTAGTTTCGGATCTTGCTTATAATAAATAGATATTAGTCTATTGAACTTGACCTATCCTTAGAACTATTTTTTCTCTTACTGAAGGCTTGGCTAATTTTTTCCAAGCGATCCTTGCTATAAGTCAAGGAAAATTTGGTGGTAATTATCTATGACGTAAGTCACTGCTAATTCAGATGGACAATGAATGGTCAACCGATTTTACGCTACCACTTCTCAATCTTCTTCGAACCACAGGAAATGAGACGGCAGCCTACCTCAAAGCGAAACTCATATGCGAGTGAGTTTTTTGGAGATTTAAGACTTATTAATCGTCACTTACATCTGCTATTATGTTCGTATTTCTTCGAGGAATAATTGTAAAAGCAAGATTTTATCAGAAAAATTTGCTGCGAAAATAATTTATAGCAAAGACTAACATTTTAACTATTTCCTCCTCGTGATTATTATCCACATTGAGATTTTAGTTTGTTTCCGTATTTTCCTAATTGTTTTCAATTTTCATTTTTTGATTTTCTATTGCAATCTTATTATTTGCATTCAACCAAGAAAAGGTCTCACTTGCTAATAATTTTCAAACAATCCATATCAATTTTTACATGGTGAAAATGAAAAAAGAAAACTTGAAAAATTTTTCTATTTTCTGGAATTTTCCCGCTTAAAGTTTCTGACCCGTCTCCGAGAGACAAAAATGCTGTCATGGGAGAAGCGGTGCCCAAATGCATTCTAAATTCATAGAAGAGAAAAAAGCACCAGAAGAGGAAGGGAAAAACTCAAAAGACAGGGATATTTTTGACTAATCACAGAGCGACGTAAACTTGTGGGCTGAGTGTGCATTTGCGGAATCATTTAACGGTGCATGAACTCCGATATATACTAAACACAAAGCATATGGATTTTTTTGTAAATTTTCTGGAACTTTTCCAAAAGGTGTAAGGAATCTATCGCCAGCCAAATGTGAGTAAGTTTGTAAAATGGCGTTGTCAAGGCGATGTATTTGTAAACAAATAAATCGACTGATCAGATGAATCACGTTTTTGGATTTAATCATTTTTTATCCTTTCTGAAATGCCTCCTTACTGCCTTCAATGTCCCATCTCCTTCTTATCCAAAAAATCTCAAAACTAAATGTTGCGTGACTCTATTGCTTTTGCGCCTCACTTCTGTTCGCTTCGATAAATCTCTGCATCTTTATTTCTTTGCACTTTTACGGTTGCTCGAGCTTGCGCGTCTCACAGCGAAGTTCAGCGTAAATCATAGGGTGTGTGCCATGACACCATGTGTCGTTTCTATTGCATAATGGACACTAATTGACTCCGTCGCTCGGCTGCTCTGGGGGACAATGTAATAAGGAAAGCGTAAAGATGCAGTGCCCCCATGACGTGACAGAATGATGGATTATTTTGCCACTTTTGGGATTTTTTTAGGGAAGTTTAAACTCAAGCTTTGCCAGGCCTGCTTTTCCTGGAAGCCACAGTCAAATGTATCAGGAGAACCAATGCCGAAATAAGCAAAACTTTTTAAATATTTGGAATTCTTACAAAAATCTCGAACGTAATGTCACAAGGAGCTTAGGATTTTCAGAATAGAATCATGTTTTCGAACACCGAGTAGAGCGAAATTCGCATGTTGCCCCTTCGAAATCCCTCGGGGATCCTCGCATTTCATTTCGATTACATGGAAATTTAGAGGCGTTGCTGAAATGCTCCAAAAATAATATTGAAAAAGTGTAAATTCTGCGTAGGCGATAATGCACGAGTGGTTTGCCAGAGTCTGACGAAAAAAGTCCAGAAAAAGGAAAAAGAGGGAAGTCGGCGAAGGTTTGCAAGTTGAAATTTTGAAACTACAAAATTTGTTGAACGAGATATATTAGGTCATTTCAAAAGTTCGTTCGCATTGTTGTCTAAAAAATCGTAACTCTCTGCTATCTGCCTAGATTGCCTGGGATAATTTTTTCTTATATAAAGAAATCGTGTAGTTTCTAAATATAACTCAAATTCGTTCTACCAAGCACAAGTCGCAGAGTTAAAAATGCAAAAAGAAGACCACTCAAATTTTGGTAATTTAAAAAAGCTCACCAAAAATTTTAAAACGTTACAAAAAATACCGAAACAAACACAAACATATGTTTTATGTTCTCGTCTTTCTAGCTAGGCAAACTACTTGTTGAACGACTGTTCTTATGAAAAGTAATGATTTTTTAGGAATTTGCTATACGTTTCCATGAAAATCAAAATTGTTCTTCCTTAGCGCAAAAATCCCTTAGCTAGAAAGAAAAGGTCACAAAACCCCTGTTCTTGGCTTTCCCGCCTTTTTCGTGACGTTTTTGGGCTTTTTTGGGCATGCTCAAAAACTGCAAAACTGAGGTAATTTTCTTTATTTGCTTGTAACTTTCGATCTTTTTCGTTTTAATTCGTGGAAAAGGCACTACAGTAAAGAGCATAATTTTCTCTATCAAATAATAACACTTTCGGAATTTTTCGTGATCCAGCTTAAAAAATGCCGATCTTGAGTAAGTTTATTCAATTGCTTCTAACTCTCGAACTTTCTCACGCTATTCCATGGCAAAGACACTATTGTAAAGAGAAAGGTTTCTTCTTTTAAATAAAAATTAGAACGGGAAACTCCACCTTGAAGGAAGGAAGTTATGATATTTTAAAAAACTGGCGAACGAACTTTTGAAATGACCTAATATTAATACCATGAGTGCGCAAATAAATCAAGTTAACCTCGCAAAAACATCCCTAGTGCATGCATACAAAGACCATTCATTCTTCAACTATCATGTCCCCGACCTCCAAATTTGGAACGCAGGCATTCAAATATGTTATTTTTTCAATAAAGAGGTAATGCCCCCCACAACTTTGAAAACATGATCAGCACGTTGACCTAGAGCTTTATAAGACTTCAAAATGCTGAATACAATATTATGCTCAAATTGCAATAGCATTGTAGCCTCTAATTTGCTTAATAGTAGTGAACCAATAATCCTACCTAGATTTGCATTCGCACGCTTCGAGACCACATTGCGGTTCCCGCTATATGATGTTTTCTGAATAGGAGCTACAATTCTTTTTATAGTAGATAATTTGAATATATACGAAGGGCTCTGATTTTACTTTACGTCTGTTCAGGCACTGAATGGCATTACAGAATGCAGATTCCGTAGGAGAATAAATAAAAGCATGTGTCCTATCCAAAAGCTCACTATTCCAGAACTCAAAAAACTTTATGCTGTGATGTTTTTTTGGTTGTCTAGGCATTTTGGTCATTGTGAGAGTATTTGTCCGCAAATTATGGGCACCATTAAGACAGCAGTGGTTCTAATGCTTCTTAATGCTCATCCAATGATGCCCATATTTGGTCATCTTTACAGCATGCGTAATGGGTATATATAATGTGTTCTTAAAAGTGCAGCCTTTATGGAAGTAAAGCGTACCATGAAAGTGAAGGAACTCCTCTTGAAATTGGGATGAAAGATATACGTAAGAGGTGTTCGCACAGATACTTTTGGAAGTATTATATTGAGTGGGTTGTAGAAATATGGAAATGGAAATTATTGAAAAAAAAATTATCGGAAATTATTAATGGAAATCAAACGAAAATTTATGGAAATCCCGAGTTCCTCCAAATTTTGTGAGCCCGATTGATACAAAATGAATTAAAGAAAAAATTCTATGCTTCAAATAGTGCTTGGCAAGACATATCTAATTTTCAGCTCAGACCATAAATTTCTCAACTGAACCAGTCAGCACTCTTTGGTGGATACGGTCTGGAGGCATTTTTGACGAGATTCTTTTCTCATCAGAGAAGACGTAAAGCTTGCAATCTATTGGAAAGGAAGTTTTACCCGTAGAAGACCTAAAAATTTTGCTGCAAAACTACTTACCATGAATAAAAATGTAGCAAAGGAAATGCATAGTCAGTATTAGTATATATGCATTACTACTTTACATCACTTCTATAAATTTGCTCCGGCTTTGACGAGGATGTGGCGGCGGAGGGTGGGGGGGGGGGGAGGGGTGGTTGTAAGTTTTAGTTGACGAGAAAGTCATAGGAATCTATCCAAAGGATTTGTTTGATAAAACACAATTCAAGTCATAATAGGGCCTTCTGGTCAGGTTTTTAATTCCACATTTTTAGCAACCTACTTTTGGTGAGCTGTAACGACACAACTTTCCAAATAATATACCATATTGAATATGTTAGAAATAACTACTGGAAGAAGTATGTCTGACTTTCGAACTCCTAACTTTGCTTGGTGTCTCGCGGGAGATATAATCAACGAGTTCCATTGTTGCCAGACGCTTCAATAGGAAGTGTATAGAGAACAGAAATGCAATCACACTCTTTTGGGAACATTATCGACTTTGCCCGGACATTTTGCCGAGGAACATTAAAACTTGACTGAGTGGCATTCAAAAATGATTTTAGACTAGTACTGAAATTACTAGTTGCAAATGTGTTCAAATTTCATCACAAATGCCCAAGATATTGTTTTTCCAAAGGATTTTTATTTTTCCAGCTACAAATTCGTTAGCTGCAAACTTTCCATCACCTTCTCCTCTTTTTTTATCTGCCATCTCTTCACTTGCCAATCATCTTTTTTTCTCGCCTCTGGCTTTCGCGTACATATCCTCGCACAAAATTGAATCATTCCGAGTGATCATAAGCAATTTCTATCACTTCTCCATCTATCATTTTCTGGTCATCAAATTAGGCGAACATGCGCTCCCTGCAGTGCCCTCCGGGTATTCGTCAAGGAAATAGTACGACACTGCACGACATGTACGGCTACGTCATGTCAGTGCCTGAAGGAGGGATTTTTGAGGGATAAATAAAAAAGGGTTGCTTTAATGATAACTGGAAGAAAGGAAAGCCAAATTTGGTGCAAAATGTAGTGCGTTACAAAATCTAGAAAGTGATCAGTGCGTGAAAATTCTGGAACGTTAGTCATATAGGACACTTAATCAGCACTTACATGCTTCACTTTCCTGAGAGCTAATCAGTAGATTTTGAACAACTAGCGTAAAAAGTTTAGAGTCTTGAAACTAGACCTACAGCTTTGACAACGCCAATGTTGATGGAAAGGAGAGAACTACATTACTCCAAATTTAAGAATGCAAAAGAGGATGAAAGTGCTTCAATAAGCGTTTTTCTTTGCTGATCTACATGGTGAGGACAGACTCAAACTGCTTTTCTTTCGAAAATACTGCAGGCAACAAATTTTTGCTCAATTCACCTTGATATTGCTGAAAAAATCCAAACAACTACAAAGAAGTTTCTAATGAAATGGATCTTATCACACGATCTCGCATTCTTCCATCCCTAAATAACAGTAAGATTTGTTTCTGATCATGTCTATCAGAAGCAACCTACTCATGACCTCGAAAAATTTAGCGTGGGGCCATAGACTTTGCGTAAATATTTGGTTGATGTAGGAGTAAAATTTGAATTTTGTTACGCTTAATTTAATTTTTTTACATACTAGAGGTAGCTTCAAGGATTCTTCAAGGATCTCAGGACTACAAATCTTGAGTTGCTACACTTCAACTATTTTGACAACTTTCAAAATTTTATCTCAAAGCTGTTTTATTAGGTTGGTGCAAAAGTTTTGTTAGTTTTTTCAGTCCATCGGCAAACACGTTAAAATGAAGCTAAACAAATATTTCAAAATGCATCCGATGCACAATTTCTTCCACTTTCCAGCTGTTAATTTCACATTGTGTTTAGTTGCGAGAGTGACGAGATATTTGCTGAAAATTACAACCACTCGTTTTTGCCATGTCCAACTTTCGCTAATTTTCAAAATTTTTGTAGAGACTTTCGGAGGAGCTTTGATAACCAGCATATAGGGCAAACCTTTTGCCAATTTATGCAATTTTTTTCTTTTTTCAGCTGCTGTTTCAGATTTTGCTAAATAATTTTCTAAAAGTCTTGTGTTTTGAAAAAATCGCATGTTTTGTTATTGCACCAAACACTGCAAAACCTACAGAAAACTGAGGTTTTAACACACGGTTATTACTACTGCTACCATTACAAAGCGAACGAGCGATTTTCGGTTCAAAATATGAAGATTTTGAAACATAGGTTACGTCATTGTGTACTCCTGAAATTGAAAATACTGCGATTTTCCCCACAAATTTCGCCTGTCTCGACAAAAAAAGACAAGTGTTAGAAAGAGGAAAATTTGCTTCGAATGGTGACTGAACTGTTCGACATTTTATGTTCTTCGAGGTTAAAACGGACTGAATTTGAAATCTGGTCACTTCAAAAAATAAATCGTGAAAATTCTGGAAAACAAGCCCTAGGGCTACAAAGGACTGCTTCTGTTGGCAAAGGGTTTGCCCTATCTGCTGGTTATTAGGGCTCCTCAGAAAGTCTCATACAAAAATTTTGGAAATTAGCGAAAGTTGGACATGGTAAAAACGAGTGGTTGCAATTTCCAGCAAATATCTCGTCAATCTCGTAACCAAACACAATGGAGTTTAAAAGCTGGAAAAAAGGAAGAAATTCTGCATCGGATGCATTTTGAAGTATTTGTTAAGCTTCATTCTAACGTGTTTGCCGATGGATTGAAAAACTAACAAAACTTTTGCACCAGCCTAATATATACACAGGACTCGTGGACTCTCCTTCCTTATTGAGGAGTTCCGGGGAGGGTTCTGAGATCCTTTGTCTAAGGGAAGGAACGACATGGGGTAATTAAAAACTTTTTTCTCTTTTATTCGAGGATTTATTACAAAAACAAACCTTACATATTCAACACTAAGAGCTCAGTTTCCTTATAGAAGCTGATTACCCAAGGCAGTGAGGGCCCCTACACTTTAAGTTCCTATGTTACTTTGAGAACCTGGAACACTAATTGCGAGAAAAAATACAGTCATAGAGCATCAGCATCGTAATAAAGACTGCTTTAATGATTACAGGGAATCGTTAAGGAGTGTTTTCGGCATTCTAACTTTTTTACTGACTAATGAAGATTTTGGTTTGCATAAAATGTTTATAAAAGTTGACCAGAAACCAGTTATCGGCATTAATGACACTTGACCTTTAAGTTCGGTTCGAACCCTACTTGTAAATGACAATATCTCGTTCAAAATTTTGCCATAAGTTCTCTTCCGGACTTTTCAGAAACGCATTATTTGAACTTATGATTTTTTAGGAGCAATGCAGAGCTGGAGATATGCCTGAACAAGTGCAATAAGTCACAAGAGTCCGCGATTCTTCTAGCAGGCATCAAGTCATGGCAAGATACCTGCGCACACCTTGACGGTAGGTTTGTGCTATTTTCTCTATAAAACCGTGGTTTTCAACACAAATACTATAAAATACAGATTTTTTTGAATTTTAATCACGAGATAACAATTTGAAATAAAGTTCTACCCATATAATTTGCTCAAGTAAATCTGTTAAGAAGTGAAGGCGCAATTTCCTTGCTGGCGAGAGAATGGCTACGAGCTCTCACAGTCCTGTCGAGTTCAAACTGTGAATCTCAAGGACAGTATGCAACTTTTTGCGAAGAATCAATCCCAAGAAAACATACAAAATATATGCAGGTATTTATAGATTCTTGAATAATTTCATTGAACCATTGGCAACAAGTAATTCTGCAAAATAAGAATACAAAATGAATCATGAAAAACTGATTAGTTTTTGTAATAATTTTGGGGCTCTTAAGGAAAAGCAAGCTTGACAAATTTGTGATCTAAATGGCTGGCTTTCAAAAAAAACTGCTAAAAAATCATGAATACTGCTCCATGTCCCTTACATGAAGTTGCTTTGAGTTCCAGCTCTCTTAATAAGAAAAAAGGTTCAAAACACTTCAGTTTTTGTTCTTGAGCAATGCAAATCTAACATAGTGATTATGATAATTCCGAATCGTCATTCTATCGTACTGTATATAAAAATCAGTGGCGTACCCAGGATCGGCTCCGGGAAGGGGCGGGGACAAGAAACTTTTTTTCGATGAAGGTGCGTGGCGTCAGCCACGCACTCCGACAATTTTTTTGGTATGCTTCCTAAAATTTTTGCGAGCTCAGCCCCGAAATTCTAAAAAAGGGGGCGTGGCTGACGCCATGAACCGACAAAATTCTTTTATAAGGTTAAAATGAATTTTTTAAAAATTTTGAAAACTAATTCAATTGTTTACAAGTGCGACAAGTCGTTTGCACAAGTTTATAACCCATGTAAGTAACTTTCAAAAATTTCGCGACCCGTTCTCGAGGGGGGGGGCTTACCTTCGGTACGTTACTGATAAAAATATGTAATCTTGCTGTTCTCTAAAGCATTTGCAATCTAGCATAAAAGCAATGAGTCTCCAAGGAAAAGGTAGTCGTCGAAGCGTAAAGGATTAGGATAAAAGTATTCAGAGAACGCACAAATGCTGCAACGACATCTTGGAATGCGTTCGTCCTAAAATGCACAATATTGACGTTTTGTAACTAGAGTCTGGTCTCGGGATGAATGATTTTCTGTCTGATCCAGTATTACAGTGGATTATTCTAATGTGTCTCTTTCAGACTTTCTAAACGAACTTTATTGATAATTCTTCATAATTGGATGTTGTTCGCATAACTCCGAAATTTTTGATAAAAGCACGTAGTTACGTTCCCCGGTCTTCTTTATAACGTTATTCAAGATTGCAAGATCCGTACAATTCTTTTGATTATGTACCATGACTGGTTGACATGATTTTGATATCTAACAAGGGAACGATCCCAACTTAAGGTGGCGATTTGGAATGAACCGCATATTATTAGATGCGCCTTGATGAGCTGATTCCAAATCTACCTTCCATATCTGCGACACCGTTATTTGCAAGAAGTTATGAGCTGTTGAAAATGTCATGTTGTTGGGGTTCCAACGCATAATGTGCTTCAAAATCCAACTTGAAAGTGTATGACTAGCGTGATAATGAGTGTACTGATTTCAAGGAATGCTCACATTCTAAAAAAACAAATAAGTGTTTTTGAACAACTAATTTTCGAGAAATGGCGCTGTATATTTGCCAAATTTGGACTTTTCATTGCTTATAGCTTTTACCAAAGAGCTTTAGTTGCTTTTTAGCTGTTCAAAAACACTTATTTGTGTTTCTTTTGAATGTGAGCATTCAAAAGAAACACAAATAAAATAAAAGTGAAATCAGTACACTCAGTATCATGCTACTCATGCACTTCCAAGATGGTTTTTAAAGCAAATCACGCATTAAAACCCCAATTACTTCACATTTTCAACCTTTTATAACTTTTTCCAGATAACGGGTCGCAGATATGGAAGGTAGATTTGGAATCAGCTCATCAAGACGCATCTAATGGTATGCGGTTCATTCCAATTCGCCACATTAAGTTGGGATCGTTCCCTTGTAAGAACAGTCGTTAAAATTTCGCAATCCATTCTTGGACGTTCCACTCCCTCTCTTCAAACCTTCCAGTAGCTTGTATGGACGCTCCATTGTTTGTATCTCGGTACAAATAGCTCTGTTTTTTTTTTTCAATGAAAAGCCAGAAGTGATCCTCCAAAAAATTCTAAATTTCTTCAAGATTTGCGATTAAGTCAGAAAGAGTGGAGTAATATCGTATTGTACGCAAGTCGCACAGGTGGGGAGGGGGGGGGGACGCGGAGAGCAGGGTGGTGCGCCCTCGAAAATGGGTCGAAAAGTACGAGAATGATCTACATTCTAAATAAAACATAAGTTCTAGTTCGTATCTGCAGGTAATTAAAATGAGATTTTCGATATGTTCACATGCCCAGCAGCCCGATGCTGTTTATGTTTTAAAGCTCAAACTTACAGCTCTTCGAAGTGCTCATCGCGAATGTGGGTCTCCATAACAAACGAAAACTCAAAGCATACTAGGAAACCACAAGGGGTTGATGGTCCCACGATGCACTGCTTTCTTAAAGTGCATGTATAATGTGGTTGAAAACAAATGTCACTTCTCATGTTACCCCTACATAGTAAACACAAGAATATGCAAGATGGATACTGTTTTTTAGTAGAGCAGTGCATGCACATTTATAACAATGGCCATCAGGCATCTACACAAAATGTTATACACGCTAAGTTTCAAGCGAAAAATTGGAAATTTCTGATTGAGACCCAAGGAAACGAATCCCTTATTCCGTCAGAGTTACCCAAAAAAGATCATATGTATATGCATTTGCTGCATTTTCTGACCCTAGAGATCGAGAAACAGAGGATCAAAAAACGACAGTAACGTCCGATTTTCAAGAGGGAATGATATTTTCTGCTTACATACTGAGGCGTTAGTGCAGCTTTTTTGATTTTTTGATCTACAAAATTCAGCAAGCGCATATACAGATGCTTCTGCTTTATGTCTTCCACGTTATGTTGCTGTAGGGAGGTTTGTAGGTTTTTTGGTCCATCGAATTTTCAGACAGAGTTGAGTTTGTAGTTTAGATTGCTTCACCACAAGATTCACACAGATTGTAAATCACGAAAAATTCCTTTTCTATCTGAAAAATAAGCAATTATCCAAATATTCCTCAGCTGTCACTTTTCAGTGACTACGACAAATTCTCAACGTGTTTCACGCAAGAGCATGGAAAACTGTGCGGATATCGTTCGGAAGTTGTAAGTTTCTTTTAAACATTCAACTAGAACTTTGAAACTCATGGAGCCCTTCGTTACTGAGGAGTTCCGGGGAGAGTTCTGAGATCCTTTATTCGTCTGACGGAAGGAATGAAACGAAGCGTTTGAAAACTTTTTTCTCTTTGATTCAGTCATACATTTGCTTAATATGTTTGTATCAGTTTGGAAAGCCTAGATGGCTTGAAATATTTTTATGAGAAATCTCTATGTCTTTTTGCTTTTTTTGCAATCCTTTTCTTTCCGTTTGTTATCCAAGTCCAATTTTTTGATGCGTACAATGACAGCAGAGGCTGTCCAATTTCTCACTGGAACGGGTCCAAAAAATTTTTCAGGTAAAAACAACGGGTTTAACAGTAGTTACGCTTCAGATTTTTTCCATAAGCCAACGAAATTCATAAGACTCCACAATTCAAACGCTTATCTGAAGACTAGAGTTTACTTGCACAAATTTGTACTAATGTGGATCACGTTCCAAAATATTGAATTCTAATCTGAAGGGTTAAGGGACGAAAGAGGGTGAAAGGGCAAATTGTTTTTTGGTGAAATTATAGTCAAGCTCTGACTTTGATAGCAATTCCAACTAGCTTATTAGCGTTCTCCTTTGTGGTAGAAGAATCGGGTCTTTCCAGAACTCTAATTTTTAGCAGCATATTTTCGGCGTAATTTAATTTATTCCCTCATACTTGAACCATGCTTTCAATGGATTTCGTTGTTAGAACACCTTGTACTAAATTTTACCGTTGAATCTTTTTTCGCGTTCTCCTGGTTAGTTTGAACCGCTTATTGTTTTTTTCAATTCAGTCGATCTCTTTTAGCTGACTGGACGAATGTTTCACAACAATCGCGAAGCGATGTTCAATATGCTAAAAATACGGTGGTCAACGCTTCCACCTCAATGTGGCTACTCTCATTTACGAAGAGATACGTACTCAAGTGAAAAATATGCATTTTTCAGAAATTCTCAATATGTTACCTTGTTTACAGCGTATTTCACAGTATTTCTCGTAACATGGTTATACTAGTAACAGATCAAGATGTTTTTTTCGTAAACTCAGGGTATGTTTGAGGTGTTCTTCCGGCACTTATTCACGGACATTAAGAGTTTTATTTCTACAAAAACTGAAGCAATTTTTCTGTTCGTATTTATTGATATTTGATTGTTGATTAATTCTTTCAAATGTGATTTTTGTACTCTATGTATCTGGTACTGTCATATCAGCTTTATGAGAATGTTATGCCAATTTTCGAGCTTTGTATTTTCTTGAGATTTTTGTGGCGAGTGTAAAGCATGATGAACTGAGGTCGTGAGTTCAGTGAAAATCCATCATCATCTGTCAGACTAACTTTTTTCGTCTACGCATTCCCAAGCAGAAAAACTTGTGACCAGTTCTCAAAACGAACCTTCGTACACTTCCTAGTAGTAATCAATTGTAATTCATTCTATGCAAAGTGTCACCCTCTACCAATGTTCCTCCAGGAGTCATTCCTTTCGAAGAAAAAGCTGTTTGCCCTAGACCCTACGCCATAAAATCCGGCAACATGAACTCACAAAACAATGTGCGTTTGAGCTTTCCCTATGGAATAGACGTATCTCGTAGGACAGTTGAGGAGCAAAACAAAGACTTCATGCTGCGAGGGATTAGGTCGCCCCCAAAATTTTCTCTGAATTTTGAATCGTCAAAGCTCTGAGATGTCAAGCTCGAACATTATTTCCTCATGCTATTCATTAACTAAACAGGGAAGGTATGTGACTCGCAGTGGAGTTTCCCTGGTTTGTATATCAGTCGAAAAGTCTTTGAGCTCCAATTTCGAAGTTCTGGAAGTTCAAAAGTTCAAATTTATTGTGTTAGATCCATTTTGAAGCTCTAAGACTGTTCTGGTGTCGATAAGAGCCTTCACTCCAATTACCTCTGAGGCTGCGCTTTTTCTCCCCATCTGAAAATCTCGGGATTTATCAAACTCAACTCGTTTGCACACCATTGTGTCTTGTAAGTCACGCCCTTTCGAATGAGCCTACACTCTGGCTCGTAGAGAAAGTGCTGGCTGAGCTACAAGCCTGTAAATTAGTACAAGTCATTGGTGAGGTGCAGGCGAGATCCTGAACACGCACTTCCAAGAGCCTTTTCCAGCAAAATAACTCGTAGCACACGTCAGATGCATAGAGAACAGGACTCGGCACGAGCTGGCACCAGGGAGTTTACAAAACAATATCTCTCTTGATTTTCGTTGAGTTTTACGAAGTCCCCCTTGATCCTAAACCTTAAACTTAGAAATACTTCCAAAAAACGAAACGCTGACTAAAAAAAACGTCGCAATTTCAAAAAGATATCCAGCTTGCCCCGTGCCAGCTGGTGGTGCCAGTCCTGATAGAGAATGATAAAGAACATCCACTTTATTTGTAAAGCTTTGTTAGGATGTTTTGCATCAGTTTTTAGGTGAAGAAATTTGGTTTGGGCGAGGAAATTTAAAGCTAATTTCGAAAAAAAACACATAAAATCTTAGCTTGTGCTTTTTCAGAAAGTAGCCATAATCGGTTATAGCCCTTGATGAGCTCTGTATGAAAGTATACCTACTTGTTCGGATTACTTGTGTTTTCGCTTGAAAAAAGGATCAAAAGGTAATTTTCGCGTTCAAAAATTGTTGCCCGCGACCTTGTGAAGCTGCCATTTTTGCACTTTTTTTAATAAAACATTTCTAATTTTTTTGGAATCCTTGTTTTCTAGAAAAGGTAATATGAGCCTAGTAGTTCTTCAAGAGCTTTGTCATCTCATGCAATTGATCATTTTTTCATCCTTGTTTTCCATCTGAAAATGAGAAACGAAAAAAGGAGGTCGGCTTGTCCGCAACTTTTTGGCGGTCACTGTATGGATAAGTGCATGCTTCTTTTACATGCGCAAGTGAGAGGTTTGTAGAAATTTTGAGGCAAAATATTTGGTTACTGGCACAATGAGTCGCTCTTATATTTTGGTTTGCGCTCTTCCAAAAGAGGAGACATTCTTCTTTCTAGTCTAATTTTTGAGAAGAAAATCAAACTTTTGAATGCGTAATCAGCATGCTCACATACCCCCTGTGCAACTCCCAGTCCTTAATTCATGCTTTGCAAAAAATAATCGGTAAAATCGATATCGATCGACAACGAAAATTTTATATTGGAAACACACACACACACAACTTTATATACAAATTCTGATAGTGCTCAAAACATCAGATTTGGCTTAAATCAACGTATCTCCACCCCAAAACGTCCTACAGGCCCATAATCATCCGAACAAAAACTGATACATTACACATTATATCAAGCATTTTACGTATTTTGTTCCTTTCTAAAAACGAAGAAGTTCAATGGGTGAAATGGCAAACTTCGCCCCTAATGGCCCTGGATCCCCCCCCACACAAGCGATCATATACTCTATGCATTGAGAAGTACGACTAATTATTCTTACCGTTGCTGCCTGGGTACCACTTGCACGCCTCCCCGGGTGCGATACATTGACTTCATTGTTGAGGTCGGAAATAAATTATTAGTTAGCCCAATACAAAACAAAAAAGTACCTTTGAGAAGATAGAACAGCTTCAGTAAGTAACATTACTGGGAACAAATTTTGAAGAACAATCACAACGCAGTGGGTTTTCAGTTTGCTAGATTTCAAATGCATCTCTTCGAGCAGGCACTTCTACACCATCGTTCGCTGCCGTGAATGCGCCTTATACAAGGTCTCCTCATACGCAGGTTAAGATCCGGAAAGCACTTAAAGATTCAGGTTTCAAAACAGACTGTTACGAACAAATTGTAGTGAAACGAGGTTTTATAACACGCAATTGAGATTGTCTAAATATTTTCTCGTTAGTTGCTTGAGCGTAATCCAAGATTGGTACAAAACTTTATCGCACAGAATAACAGACTAACGTTTCAAGAAAACAATAGCCTCGACCAAAACCAAGATTAAGCTAGTGCTCACCTTATCAGATGATAAATTGGTGGGTGCAGACCACTTATGTCAAAAGCTGTACTGCTTAACTTTTATAGTTGACTAGCGACCCGGTTCTGACCTGACCCCATTATTCAAAAGCCACAGAGGCTCTGATATGGTGACAGTTCGTTAGTAATGGCTAGGCACTCGTCCTTGGTTGGGGCTCTTGTTTTTCTTAGAGGGTTGGGCTCCTTTCTGTAGTCAGCGAGGTATTTGATCGGATAGTTTACTCATGTGTCTTCGACTTTTTCAGACTCTGAAGAAGGCGAGTTCGCCGAAACGTTAGTCTATTATTCTGTGCGATAAAGTTCTGTACCAATCTTGGATTACGCTCAAGCAACTAACGAGAAGATTGCAACTATGCCAAGATTCATGGATAGTCGAACATGGATGCTTATTGTCTAAATAATTTCAAAAACATTTGAAGGCCCACCTTGTGGTCATAGATCTCCTTCACATCTTCACTGATATACAGGGTGTCCCAATGTATGTTGTAGTTTGCACTGTTCGATGTCGATATCTCTTTTTTCGAAAGAACATTGCCATCGTTCAGATATCGTTTTGTAGAGCTGCTTCAACTCATATCTATTATATGGAGCGAACCACCGATCGCTCTTCATTACCGTGGCATCACAAAGAGAAATTTGGGGAGAGTTTGAGCATTGAAAGCCACATATTGCCTCAGAGAAATAGACTGCTTAAAAATTTCCAAACCAAGCTAATTAGAGTTGCTGTTTCCGGATGTGAAATTTGCGCTTTACCGTAGGTTATTTGGAAAATTGTGCCCATGCGGTAACAACAGTTTGTTCGTTGTTTTTATAAAATGTGAGTATTATTTTAACGCTATTTTTGTATTTCAAAGAGTCGTCAGTTGCTTGCTCTTTCGTTCTTGTGTACTGTTCCGCTTCTGATGAAAAAACTCCGAACTTGGAGAAATGTGCATTTGGAAGCGGCGTCAATTCGTAACAGTTTTTAGCTGTTGCTTACAATGGAATCGCAATTATTCTCTTACCTCTCCTCTAGTGGCGTATCCAGGATTTCCGTTCGGGGCGGGGGGACAAATGTGGCGTTAGCCACCACTCCAAAAAGTTTTTGTATGCTCCCTAAAATTTTTGCGCGTTAAACCGACGAAAAAATTTTTCTCATAAGGCTAAGTTGAATTTTTAAAAAAATTTAAATATTATTTTGATTATTTGCAGATATTAGGTCGTTCCGAAAATTCTTGCGCACGAATTTCAAAAATTCATAACTTCTGATTTTTCCAGCCGATTTGACTGCTTTTATTTTTGTATGAAAAAGTAATTCATGCTCTTATAATGATATCTTAGCTCCTTACTAATGGTCATCTATTGCATAGATAAGAGCGATACAAATTTTTTCAAAATTTGAATTTTCCGTGTAGGGTCATAAAAAATCGGAGGCTGGCAACAAAAATCGGAGCAGTCAGTATTATAGGTCCTTTCACTAGCTCTTTCTAAGCAAAGTTTGCGCCGATTGAGCGTCTCTATGAAAAGTTATCATTTTCGAGCAAGCAATACAGAAGGGCGAAATTGATTTCTTTTAGCATTTTTGAGGGAAGTCATAACTTTTTATAAAGACGCTCAATCGGCGCAAACTTTGAACTGTAAGAAAGAGCTGGTGAAAGAACCTACAATACTGACTGCTCCAATTTTTGTGTTTCCGATTTTTTATGAGCAGTTTCCGATTTTTTATGAACCTACACAGAAAATTCAAATTTTGACCAATTTTCTTGTATCGCTCCTATCTATGCAGCAGATGACCATTAGTAAGAAGCTAAGATGTCGTTATAAAGGGCATGAGTTACACTTTCATACAAAAACCAGAAATTATGAATTTTTGAAAATCGTGCGCAAGAACTTTCGGATCGACCTAATATAAACAAATCACTTACACATTTTTATTACTCATGTAAGTAACTTTCAAAATTGCGCGACCCATTCTCCGGTCACCCCCCCCCCTCCCCCGCCGCTATTCCACTGAACTCTCAAAGTTCTAAACTTTTTCAATCACAAGAGCAAACGGGACACAAGTATAAGGTGAAAAAGCCGAAGTTTACGAAAACCGACCGTTAAAGAAAGTCAAAGATTGTTATTTCTCGCCCTCTCAAAACAGCATATGGATAGCTGCAGCGCATACAGCATGTAATACAGTCCCGGCACAGTTGCGCACAGTGCTGGAACTGTTCCAGACTTCGGAATCAGTATGAACCAGTGGCGTACCGAGCGGGGGGGGGCGGGGGGGGGAAGGGCGCGCGCCACCCCCCCCCCCGAGAATGGGTCGCGAAATTTTTGAAAGTTACTTAAATGTGTTATAAAATGTGCCAGAGGACTCGTTTTTATTTGTAAATAATTGAAATAATTTTTAAAAAATTTTAAAACCTCAAATTAGCCTTATAAAAAAATTTTTCGGGGGCGTGGCTACCGCCACGCCCCCTTTTTCTGAAATTTTGGGGTCAGGGGCCCGGAAAAATTTTGGGAAACATCCCAAAAAAATTTTCGGAGTGTGTGGCTGACGCCACGCACCTTCATTAGAAAAATTTTTTTGTCGCGCCCCCCCCCCCCCCCCCCCGAGCCGAAATCCTGGGTACGCCACTGGTATGAACCTAGCCTAAGGAAAAGTAAATGGAGATTTCCACTATGCTGTGAACCTAATGAAGCCAGCTCTACACAGGTACCTGAAGGTAGGCAAAAGATCTTTCTGGAAAACAGGTTCAACATGAACAGTGTAAGCATACTCCTGAAGCACCCTGTATTACTACTAAACTTGTCATTTTGAAGACAGAAAAGTTTCAAACCTTCCCTTTAAGCAAAGTTGCGTAGTTGTTGTGGTATTTGTGCCTGACATCTCAAGCTCCCTTTACTACTATTTATCAGTTTTAAGACTGTCTTTCTGACTGTTAGGCATTTTTCTTTTCATAGCTACCCGCGAAGGGATTACATCATGGGAACACTAGTCGCAATGCGTTCTAACTTTTCAGATAGACCTCATTGCATTATAGAACATAGATCTATGGATCTCATAGGAATTGCTGCAGCAGACGTAATTGAGCTGGTAGATTGAATTTGTTGGCCACAGAAAGCAGGAACTTTGATACGTAAAAAAATAGGGCCTTTGTTTGAGAACGTTGACTTTGGATGGCAACTATTTCCAAAAAACGAAGAGAGAATCTTTGAACTCAGCAGACCTTTCGATACAGCTTTTTGCTGTTTCCAAGTCTTTTCGTCGCGTCGAATACTTTGTTCCAAAAAAAAAAACAATAAAACTCGCAGGTTTTAGGAAGGAGTTAAGTGAGGAGCTCAACTGGAAAGTAGAAATGTAGTCAGTTTCAGCATAAAAACTTCTCCGCACTTTTGCGCGGAATAGTATGGACATGTGTAAACTATAAACTATAATATAATATAATTTAATATAACTATAATATAATTATATATATAATTGTAAACTCAAGACAATAGGCATTGATGACCCGCTCCTATCCTGGCTTACATCTTATTTGCATGATCGTTACATGACTGTTAAAGTTCAGGACAAGTACTCAAAGATTATTGTTGCACGAGCGGTGTTCCTCAAGGAGGTGTTTTATTACGGAATTACCGTCTCTGCTTCGCACCTTACAAAAAGTAAAGATCCAAATGTATGCTGATGACATAAAAGTATATGGAATTTATGGTGCGGAGGACCGTTTTGAGGTACAGTCAGCCTTACAACTATCTCTTATTGATAAATTAGTGAGGTGGGCTTCGTCTTGGAATTTGACCTTGAATCTTGACAAGAGTTGCGTACTTCACATAGGAAATGGTTGCGCAGGTTCTTATGTGGTTGACAATATTGTGTTAAGATCATGCGGCTCAGCTAGGGACTTAGGAGTAAATGTTGATTCTAGACTCAAGTTTTCTGAACATATCGATGCTGCTGTTAGAAAAGCATACACCTCCTTGTTAGTACTTATTCGCACAGTAAAGAGTGGCTCGCCTGTTTTGATGACGCGTCTTTACAAAGCACTTGTTCGCCCTCATCTTGAATACTGTAGTCCAATTTGGAATCCTGCAAGAGAGAAAGAAATCTGCAAACTGGAAAAAGTGCAAAAAACCTTTACGCGTCTCTTATACAAGCGAAGCCACTCTGACAAGAATATTCCAGGTTATAATGCTCGTCTAAAGATGTTCAACCTGCAAAGTCTGTCAATCGTCGTGAAATCTCAGATTTAGTGTTTGTTTCCAAGTTTTAAGAGGGGAAAATAGATTGAAGGCAAGCAAATGTTGAATCTTCATGCCTACTAGTGAAAGGTCGGGAAGATTCAACTTGCACTACCCAAAAATTGAAAAAAAACACAATTTCTCGAAAATGTACAATAACATTTTCTGCAGATCTGCCAGATGGTTTCAGCAGTTGCCTATGGAAGTTCTGTGTTCACTGAACGCAAGCTCCTTCAGGACTAAGTTGATGGGAACTGACACTCAGCTTTCATCTTTGAATTTTTAGACTAACTTCAAAATTATTTCCAGTTACCGCCTCTCTTTTGGTGCTGCTACAATTCCGCTACACCTATGCTAATGCACTGTAAAATGGCGCTCTCCAACATCAAATTCATATTGATCGACTAGTTAGCTATTTCGCGAAATGGTTGTGGCGTTTTCCTGCAGCAGAAATTCGCAACTACATCTATATCTATTGTATGTCACTATCGGACAGAGATAAAATGTTGAATATGATGACACCAATTTTTCTTTCTGAATAGTTCAAAAGATTCCACCGAGCTTTTTGTGCTGATCAGACTACGGCAGAAACTTGACCACTTTGAAAACACTCACTTGATTACTTTGCAACACTCCACTTTCAACTGCTGTCGACATATAACCTGAGTGAGCTTTCACGAGTTAGCCGAGGTACGAATGGTTTCGCCCATTCGCCTCGTTCGCACCCTCTTATACCAATTTTCGGTCAAAATAATAGAGAATATTTTGTGAAAAGGCAACCATGAAGTACATCTGAAGGCTAGTTATCGTCCTAACAGCCATTGGTGATTTGATGTGAATCTAATATCTTCATTTTACTCCACAACATCTCGTAAACTTGGCAACAACAATCTTATTTTAGCTTCGAAGTCACAAAAAACGATAGTGCATCAAGGCCTTATTTTTGATATAAAATCCACCATTTTTGCACAAACCTTTATTTCCACTTCCGCACAATGACTTGTTCACATTAAGCAATTAAAACTCCATCAACATTTAAAGGTGAAGAACTTTCGTTGCAGTCTGACAATCGAATAGCAGGCACAGGTCGTACTTGTAAAGTCTTCAAAAGTTCGTACGGTTTCCTAATCAACTTTCCCACAGCTCTTCTGTAGTCCTTTATGAATATAATAATGGCAATGGGATCCAGGACTGTGTACAAGGTTATGACGAGAGGAACAAAAGAATAAATTCTGAAAGTCAACTTTTGGCGGAGCCGTATTTGAACTTTCATTCTCCCACCTCGGTGGAGGATATCCCATGATTACGGCGAAAAACATAACAAAGCGTGGCAAGTACGCTAACAAAAATGGTATAGCTGCCTGCAACAAAAACTGGAAAATAGAGCATCTTTTTATTACTGCTCAGACAATTATTACGAGCATCCGCGGCCCTTAATAGTGCCTTTTGGTGGCGCGCGGGCGTTGAATTTCAATACTGACCATCCGCGGCCCTTAATTCACTTGCTTGGCGACCCGCGGCTCGTTTTCGCTAGTTAAAGGCCGCGGGTTTTGATTCTTCTACCGGAATACCCGCGACCCGGGAAAAAACACTCGGGCGGGCCACGGACCTTATTGAAAGCAGCCGCGAGCCTTAATGGATCAGCCGCGGGCCTTAATAGGCGCCGTGCTCATCATTTTCGGGCAGGCCCCGGCCCTTCTAGGCAACGGCTTAACAGAATCAGTCTGACCAGTCGCGGGCCTTGCCGGACGCCGCAATTCTTACATGCTGTAAGCAAAAACGTTACTCGCGTGAGATACGCCGCGCTCATGGAGGTACCCTCAACGTTTATGCCGTTGCTTATCGTTTCTCGGTAAGTGGCTAGTAGCAAAGACGGTCTGCTGAAGTATTTTCCCCCAGGGTTACTTGAAGTTGGACCGGGGCCCTACAATGGAAGACAATTTTTGACGCATACCCTGACCCATGTGCGAGGGTGAGGAAAATGGGAACAGATGTTCAAAAAATGGAATGAATGTCATTGTACTGCGTTTAGCAACTGCGTATCGGGCCACCCGCAGATGCATATCGCGCATCAGTCGGGTGCATCAGTCTGGACATCCGCGGGCGTCTTTCGAGCGCTTACCGGCGCATCCGCGGGTAACTCTCGGCTGCTTAGCGTGCGTTTACTCTATCACCCGCGGCATGGATGAAACGTCGACGCGGGCCCTTCCGCGGCTGGTCGCAATAATTGTCTGAGTGGAAATACAAAAAAATTTTTTTGTTGAATACCCAGTGCGTACTTCACAACAAAAGCGCCGAACGCTCTTCTTCCAGTTAAAGATCTCGACTTAGAGCCACACACATTTCGTTGAAGAGATGCATCCATATAAAAGGACTACACATCCGAAGACTTAAAGGCAGTGGCTCGGCAAATCTCAACCTAGTCAAATTTGCGCTTACCTAAGGTTATTCAATACGCTGATCCCGAAAATCCACTTCTGAAAGCTTGAAAACGTCGAAAATAAGCTCTCTTATGCCCTTCCCTTCGAAATGGGACGAGTGGAGCAAGGCTGATGACGCTAAATCGTTGCAGGACCCAATGGTTATAGCATTGCGGCGGGCAGCCTCCAATGGTGAGAAGGACATTGCCAACTCGTCCAGATGCGTGTAAGATTGCCTGCGCTTGTAAGTTTGAGAGCGATTATCTCGACAAGGAAAGCATGCTGTGCAACCATGATTGCACTGTTTTCATACTTGGGCGATAAGGAACCTAGCGCGTTAAAATCCTAAGTTGTTGGATTTTGCCGATCCACTGCTTAAGACCCGAAATTCTAGAAAAGTTGTAAGTTAATGGAAATAAATTTCCCCTCAGTTAAGAATGGTTCAACAATAGTTGAAACACAAGCGAGTCTAATGAGTGAAAAGGCAAACTAGTTCGTTAGTTACAATTGCGCAACGCAATGGTCACACTTACTAAAATAACACATGAAATTGGGGATCAGCTTATTTCGTTGTATAATCTCACCTGAGTTAATACCAGTGCTCGGAGCAGTTGCTGTTGAAGCGCTCTCGATTTTCGCTCATAACAGTTTTTTGTAACTGCAGCATAGTGCAAATACCATATATTATCATTATTGTGAAGGTGAACACCATCATGATTGAAATCAAAAATAAACCAATGGCGTTTGTCTAATATATCGTAGTCACATCATTATCTATTTTCTAAAAGTTGCTATGTGTCAACTTATTTTATGTTTTATAATTGCTCACATGTGTAAAAACGCAGAAAAACGACAAATTCCTGATATTCAGATTGAGCTTTTCCGTGACTGATAAGGCTGCATAGTTGTAATATTCTTCCGTGGCACAAAAGCAAAAGAATGTGATTAGGCCATAGAATAGCCCCACAAAAGCACTGGTATGGCCCACAGAACCAAACGAGGAATTTCGAAATAATGGCGTTTATGTGGCCTCAAAAAGCAGATACTAGTGATTTTTGATTTATTTTTCAAATTAGTCTATGAAAGCAATAGGGGAACTGACAAACTAAATGAGTGAAATTCTACTAAGAAGCATGAAAGAGAAAGTCGGAAATATGCGTACCTGCATACAATAAAATATCGATAGATAAAGTGTAGCGCGAGTACTGCAGTCTCCATGCCATACATGGCAATGAAATAACATAAGAACAACTCACCTCAGGGTTTTGCATGAGCGAGAAAACCATTGCTATAGGCTATGTATGATGTTCCATAGATGTGAACAGCCTAAGGATTCAACCATAGTATCCTTTACAATAGCTGTTACACCGTAAAAGTACCGGTTGGCTGAAATATTCAGCAGACGAATAGAGGATGTTACAAATACTGAATGAAATCATCAGATACTTGTATGTGCCGACACTTATTCGTGTTTCATTACAAACAATGTAGATAAATACACCGTTTAGGATAACCGCTAGAATAAAAATTGTTGTAGAAGCTGTTACCACCACTTCTGCTGTTGCCATCTAACAGGGGGAAATCAACTGAAGCATTTAATTGTGCATGAGGTGTCTGGCTAATGGTAAACAGGTACCAACACGACAGATGATAAAAAACCGACGATGCAATGTAGGCAACTTTCAGGAGTATTGTTTAATCTCTAACGTTCAAGCATCACTTATAACACCAGGTTGAGTCGAAAGTAATCAAAAATACTGCATTCCATACCTTCACGCAAAACGGTAGAATCATACAAGACAAGTACTCTAAATTGTTGCACGTGGCTTTTCTTTCTCTATTCAGCAGTCAGGTGGGATCAGTCTTCCTCATGATTGTTGAAAAAAATTCGCTGAGTTTTGACCCCACCTTTTTTGCTTTGGATAATTTTAGCCAATTCTCAGGACCTCTTCAAGGCTCCCACAAAAGTTCGGTCACATAAATACAAAACAGACACTTATTAGTGCAAAGTTTAGGTTTTCCAAAACTAGTTTTCTGGGCTTTTTCAAAATGATTTTTTCGCAATATTTCACAAAAAATTGCGCAAGGCAAAAGTGCCCCAAATCCTACGAAATTCTCGGTGCTCCAAAGCTTCAACAGTCGTTTATTATCAAGCTTTGAAAGATCAAAGATTTCGTAGGATTTGGGGCATTTTAAACGCCCCAAATCCTACGAAAATTTCAAACGGAAATTAAACGTTTACCCTCGAAATATACGGGACTTAATATGTACCAAAGACTGGGCATTCGCTGTAGTCTGTTGGACTGTTTGGTTAAAAATTCACCTGAGAGTCTTTTCTCATTGCCTGGTTCCCAATAAAATGAAATCAAATGGCAACTGACAAGCGAAAAGTCAGAAGTCAAAGTGGCCAGTCCAAACGGGCTGCATGTCATTGGAAGTAGCATGAAGCGCTGACTCTATGTGTTTTCTTCATCTGCTTATCGCTTTTCTGGACATTCTGGACAAAGCAAGCCATTAGAGGCCATTATTTTGCTAGGAAACTACGCGTGAAAGTAAAATGGTCATACAGCGTTCGGCTTAATGCTGTGAGATCATGCAGCTAGTTTACTTCGGATAACCCATACTTGAAGATGAGCTGAGATGACAATTACATGCTCAATTGCGCAGTTTTAATGTGGTTTTTTTTCGCAATAAAGCTGCTCATAGCTTCGTCCACAAAAGCAATAAGCAGATAAGGAAGACACAGTCGAAGTGTTTTATGCTGCATCGAATGGTATACAGCTTGTTTGGTGCCACTTTGACTTCTGACCACTTCCTTGTGAGTTTCTTTTTGCAGTGTTTCCAGAGACATGAATTATTATCATGAACTTGATCGTTGCAGTAACATGCAGCAATAACAATAAGCTACAGACTGCTTTTTATATTGCACTTTTTTGCGGTCAGGTCCAAGTACCCGCTCGACTTTCATAATTCTTTGCATACCTCGCTTGCATCGGTCTTTCGTGCTTAAAAAATCATACATTCCAACTTCTACCAAAGAGCGAATTCCTCCTATTACGTGATTGAAACTGATCTATCAAAATCCCGTTGATTCTGAATATTTTGAAACAATCATAGTCAGCTCCCTTCCAATAATTTTTATTGTAAGTAGAAAAATTAAAAAGAGCCTACGGAAGAGGCTAAACAAATTTGCAGCGTTTGATGACAGGTACTTGTAAGATCTACCTTACTGAGCAGAGACTCGCTAACCTTTTTGTCGTAAGCAAAAAAATGTAGCCTCTGAAGTGAGGCAAACTATAATATATTGGGTTAAAAATATTTCCACATGTCCGATCAAGAAACCATTTTAATGTAATGTAGGTGACTTAAATACAGTCAGCGACATCTCAGTGTAAATTAATTATTGACAAAGGTAAATAACGGCGTTGTTTCAACTCCTCATGGCTATGTCGTTATTATAATTGGATTTTTTCATGAACACGATAAGCCCACAAACAAGACCTTTGTTGATGGTTGTAGAGTCAATGGACATAGGCGACCTTCATTTGAATTGGTCATGAAGCAGCAGCACATTCAAGACTAAGCTATGTAAAAACGAACTGATTTTCTGTCGTAGCACAAAGGACGCAGAAGAGCACTCAGCTTTCGATGCTTCCTTTTTCCTACCCCTCCTGCGGTAATCGGGTCCGGCAAAATTGTCAGTTCTACCAGCTTCTCCCAAGTTTCCCAAGTCCCAGTCCTGCCATATAATCGCTTTTCAGTTTCATCAAACTGGAAAGCGATGATATGACAGGATAATCCGTAACCGTAGTTTATTCCTGGTAGAGCAACATTGTCCAAATCGCTCTGCACACGAAACAGCGCCACCAAACGCGCAACTCAGCTCTGCAACAACTCTTTGATGCGCTCCTGTCTATCCTGAAACTCAGGCTCGGTTCATACTGATTTCCATGTTCCGAAACTGTTCCCGCACACTTCTCGCACAGTTTCCGCACTGTGGAACTGTTTCCGAACTGTGCTGTGCAATTCCTGCACCCGCCAGTACCGCAAGGAACGCCCAATTCGGGCCGGTACCTCAAATCGAGGAGACTGAAGTTGCCTGGGCATTGAAGAAGATCTAATGGTAAAGCCCCTGACGACATACCTGCGGAAGTTTGGAAGATGATGGAAAAACGTGGAGTGGCTTACCATCGCTCTTCAACCGGATCATCATTGATGGACAGGTGCAGAGAATCTGGTTTTTTTGAGTGTTACGTCCCTATCTGGAAGAATAAGGGTGACGTCAGCAATTGTTCAACATATCGGCCGTTACGCCTGCTGTGCCACACAATGAAGATTCTCGAGCGAATTATCGACGCACGCATCCGAAGTATCGTCAAAGTCACACCGAATCAATGCGGTTTCGTAAAAGGATCTGGGACCATCAACGTCATCCATGCCGTGCGACTGTTAATGGAACGCCACCTAGAGAAGCGAATTCATCCGGTTCATTTCGCGTTTTTGGACTTGGAAGAGGTTCGATTGGATACCGCACGAGCTGATCTGGTACGCACTGAGGCAACACAACGTCCCAGAAGAATATGTTTGCTGGATCAAACCTCTTTACGCGAACACGACCGGGGCCGTACGCTGTGCAGTGGGAACGTCAATGCCATTCTTAATCCGAGTAGGAGTACATCAAAGATCGGCTCTGTCACCATTTCTCTTTATACTGTGCATGGATACGGTGACGAGGGAAATTCGCTGTCGCCCGTGGACACTCCTCTACGCGGATGACGTCGAACTAGCAAGCAGATCCAGACAGGAGCTCGAAGAGGTAACCATGAGATGGAAGAGGCTACTAGCCGAACGGTCTGCGCCTGAACGTAGGAGAAACCGAGTACCTAGAAGGCCGACAGCAGACCGACGGCACAATCATCATCGATGAGCAACCATTGAAGAAGGTCACCGTTTTCAAATACCTGGGCTCCCGAGTGATGTCGCATTGCGAAGCGATCACTGATGCTCGTGCAAGGACGAATGCAGCGTGGCTGAAGTGGCGTCAGTAACAGTCTGCGATCGCCAAATTCCATTATATTTCGAAAAGTATAATGGACTGTGATACGACCAGTTGCCTTGTACGGAGCAGAATGTTGGCCGGCAACTAGGAACCACGAGCAGATTCTGAGCACGATGAAGATGCTAATGATAAGATGGATACTCGGCCTAACGCGAAGAAATTGCGTCCCGAACACGGATGTGCGGCACATTTTTGGAAATGCACTTATCGCGGATGGAATGCGAGGTGCCAGATTACGATGGTATGGTCGCGTTTTACGAAGTAAAGATAATACAGTAGCAAAAACAGCACTTCGTCTAGATCCACAGGGGAAGAGACCACGTGGCCGTCCGAAGCAACGCTGGTTGGACACCATTCGAAACGACCTGCACATTGCGAACCTCACACCACAAGAAGCAGCTGATCGAGTCAAATGGAAACACGAATGCAACACCGCCGTCCCTGCCTCCGCGGGACAGTGGCGAGGATAAAGAAGAAGAAGAATGGGGTCTTTCCTATGGACAAGCTGCCGCAGCGACCGATAAGGCACCAAGAAATGTGACACAGAAACTTCCGAACATCAATCATCGATTCAAAAATGCTACGTAAAGAAAGCCCGATTTCCAGTGTACTAGTCGCATCACATCATTATTCTAGTTGCGTCTATAATTTAATTAAGTTGCTAGAATACAAAAATTTACGGAGGAGTTTGGTTTCAGCTGTAAAAGCTAGAGAAGGTCACGTCATCCTTTTTTTTCAGTATTTTAACGATCCAACCATGATCTTCCTTGTACTCCCAAAGCTCTTCACTGATCCACAGGATAACCGGTAAGTATAAGCTATAGCAATGGATATATCTTATTCTGCAAGCACTCCATCATGACGCTTGTGAGAGAGTTTCTATATTAGAACATATAGAAATCGCGCTCATTGTACTCTTCTATGTGGACGATACTCCGCAATATGCTTCTACTTTGTAGACACTACATCGCAGTTGGTCAATACCGCATTTATAGCACCTGTTTATAATTTAGAGAAAGAGAGCTTATTTTAAACGGCCTTATCTCTTAGACTGCTGTATAAAAAGACATGTCTTGGAATCTATTCGGTTTGCAATCATATTGTCGCAACAAGTACATCTTTTACATATAAATCGGTTATACACTAACACCCCATATTTTGTCGTTTTCCTGATTTTTGGAAGAAAATGCAAGAAAACCATGTGAAAGACCGCAGCCGAAAACTGTATATGCAACGCAAATGAAATTCGGCGTCAATCTTGGAAAAACGTTGTGCTTAAAACACGTTTTTTACCGGGTCATAATTTTACGAACACCATAATCAGTCTATTTCTTCACTTGAAGTTAGAATTTTGGCGTTCAAAGTTTTTTTTGTAAGGCTACGATCTCAAGGTCTGAGGTGCCTACTAAGCGCTAAACCAAACAAATCATAAAAGGAGGTTTT